AAGGGGAATCACTTTGTCACCTGGAAGAAAACAATATCCCATATTCGGTGGCTCTGAGGATGCTGCCTGTGTGAGAGCTGATTCCTGGGCATGTGTTTGTGTTTGTCTCAGTTACCTGGTTTCATAGAGGTCACTCCTTCTCCAATGCTTTCCACAATTCCAGCTCCTTCATGGCCGGGGATAACTGGGAATTCTGCCTTGGGAAAGTGGCCTTGCCGAAGGTGTTCATCTGTTTGACAAATGCCTGTGGCCACAAGCTATTTGGAGAAGAAAAAGTAGATGTGCTGGCCTCTGCCTTACTCAGTTTATGGAAGCAATTTTCTCGGGGGTGTTACGATGTCAATCAGTGCTGGCCCTCCACGGCAGCACACTGAGCCCAGGCTGGGCTTTCCCCTTCTGCTCACCCTGAATGCTCCATGTGGCTTTCCTCTGCACTGAGCTGGAGGTGGAAATGGAAAGGGGGCCACAGTGGCACAGGGCCCTGTCCAGCAGAGCAAGGGCTGGAGGTAGGAATTCCTATGTGACAGCTTAGGCAAGGATTAGTCCAAAAAGGAGTCCCTGGAAGATGGTGCATTTGAGCCAAGGCAGCTTTGGACAATTAAAGCATCTTGGAGGACACGCATCACTGAGTTATAGGGAAGGTTTAATCACAAGAAGAGCAATTCCCACAGAGAAGGAAGAAAAAGTTATGGAAATATATTTTTACCTTAATCCGGACTTCCCCTGTCTTTGGGGGTGCAACTTCAACCTCCTCAACAGAGAGTGGTTTGCCCGGGGCCCAGGCAACAGCAGCCCTGCACCTGATAACCTGGAAACAACCGAGAGGAATACATTGCATGGGAGCATTTGCTGTTAGCACGTGGCTGGGGGAAGTCATCCTGCAATCACCTGAATGCAAGATGTTCAAATTTGGTGAGGCTCAACTGCACCTGAAACCAAGTGATGTCCAATAATCACTGGCCTAGTTTAAGATCTGAGGAAACCCCATTTGTGGTTTGTCACCTGAAGAGTATCAGGTATAGCCCTGGAAAATTATTGGGTTTTGATGGCTTTGGTGGATTTTTCATAATATCCCCATATGGGGATATGTTACTGGCCAGACTGTGTTGTCACGGAGACGGTGGATCCTACCAAGTAGATATGCCTATGGAGAGCTTTGATGGCAGCCTTGTGACATCCTGGCAGAAGGTGAATGAGAGGGGTTATGGAATTGTCCCCGTCTGATTGGCAATTCGATAAATCTTTTCCCTTACCAAGGTTTGATTTGTGTGTGACATTGCTCAAACCCTGTGCCAATCGACTCAAAGCAGTTTGACATCAGCAGGATGGAGCTTGTAGCTTGAAAAGGGTGCTGC